AATACCGTACCTACAGCTCTGGAATCAATAGTGTGTGTGTGTGTGTGTGTGTGTGTGTGTGTGTGTGTGTGTGTGTGTGTGTGTGTGTGTGTTGGGGTGTGGGGTTGATAAGCATACCTGGAAATCTGGCAATATTCAAGGCCCCACTCCACCCTCGACTCTGTGCTCAGGGACCCTATAGTGCCAGGAATCAAACTGGAACCACGTGCATGCAAGGCAGGCTCCTGTTCCCCTGTGTTGTGTTCCAGCTCAGGAAGTTCAGTACTGGCTCTAAGCCATCAGCTGCCTGAGACTCAGCGGAAAAGATGTGCCCTGGCCCTCCTCTACTGGGCCTGGCAGCTCAGGGCCTCCAGAGTGGCTGATAGACCTTCAGCAGTTCCACACTGTCCACAGTCACCCTTTATCTGCAAGGGTTCGGGGAGGCCGCAGTCCATTGACTCTTCCCTGAATGCAGCCCTGGGGCAGATGATGGGTCCATCATGAAGCAGCTCACAGTGGCCTCTCGGGATGTCTTCTGTTAGCTGCAAGTATACAGGACCGGCTCACTCCCCGCAGCACAGCCGTGGAGGCACAGAACAAACTCAGTGACAGTGACCCATGGGACTCTAAGGACACCTGGCTAGTCAACAAGAGTGAGCCAGAGGGCTGGAGTGAGAGCAGGTAGGGCCTTGCACAGGGCAGACCAGAGTTGAATCCCCGACATCCCATAGGGACCCCTGAGCACCACAAGGAGTGATTCCTGAGTGCAGAGCCAGGAGTAACCCCTGAGCACCCCCCCCCCGAAAAAGAGTGTGAGTCAGAGAACTTGGGGGTTATATCCTGGATCCTCGATGGTAGAGATGACATAGGGTTGTCATGAGTTCCCAAAATGTGAGGTGAAATCGGAAGAACACTGTGGTGGGAGGGTCGGTGGGAGGGCAGCAGAGAAAAGGGGGTGGAGGTCTGGACACCCAGGGAAGCAAAGGCTGGGGGGGGGGGGAGTGGAGGAGAGGGGAAGGTGAGATTAAGGAAGTGGACCATGTCCTCTAAAGAAGGAAGGGAAAAGCAGAAAAGGAGAAGGGAGGAAGAGGGGAATGGAAAGGAGGAAGAGGAGGAAAGGGAAGGAAGAGGGAGGAGAAAAGGGGAGTGGTAGGATGGGAGGAAAAATCTGGGGAGAAGAATGGGGAGAGGAGAGGGAGAGGTGGAGGAGGAGGTGGGGAAGAGGAGGAGGAGAGGGGAGGAGGGAGAAGGAGAAAGAAGGAGGGAGGAACAAAGGAGGAGGCAGGGAACGGGAGAAAGGCTAGGCGGACAAAACCGAGGCTTCAGCTCAGACAAGAGCGGGAGAGAGCTGCGGTTGAGTGGGGGAAGTGTGGGGGGAGCACACAGCAAGAGGAAATGAGAGCGCAGCAGAGCGCAGTGCCAGGAGGGGGTGAGGGGTCTTGAGCAAAGTTTGGGTGGAGAGTTAAAAGCAGTTGAAAGCTCGCAGGTGGCAGAAATTGCGGGACAGAAAAGAGGTCCGGGACTCTCAGGGCAGGAAAAAGCTGTGCCCTTGGCTGAGGTCGTGAACCCCAGGCACGGGAGGGGTGGCAGGCAGGGAACCACAGACATCGCAGACCCCACCTCAAGTCTGGGCGCGGAGCTGGATCTCCCAGGTGTGCTGAACTCGAGCCAGCCGGAGTCGCAATGGGCAACGCGCAACGGGCAACGAGCAACGGGCGGGCGCCTCCGTCCAGACTCTCCCAGCACGAAGGGGCTGGCGACACTGGCCGCGCTTGGTGATCCCGACTCCGCGCAGAAAGCGCACGGGACCCGGACGGCTCCGGCAGCAGTACCATGGGCCCGCGGAACCCGCGGCCCCCGGTACCCACGGGAGCTGCACTGCCCATGGAACCCGCGGCCCCTGGTGACCCGCGGGAGCTGCATGGCCCTTGGAACCGGTAGCCCTTGGTGACCCTCTCCAAGGGTGACGTAAGCATCAGGGCCAACTCCCAAGTTCTGGCGCAACTCCATCAGCAGCATGCGCGCGCGCGCGCGCTCGCGCGCCTTTGTGATCCTCGTCCCTACCTGCACTCCGGAGAGGGGCAGCGGCTACAAGTGCACCCAGAGAACTAGGCAAGGGTCCCGGCAGCTGCAGACTCACCAGCTCCATTGAGGATCCTGCACCTGATCTGCACCCGGGAAGGTGTGGGGTATCTCTGATTGCATCAACAGATCGGCTATCACGGTGCCTCTCCTCATCCTCCCAGGGCCTTGCGCAGTACCTGGCAGCAGCAGGTGTGGGAGTTTACAACCCCCCGCGGACTAGAGTTTGCAGCCTTTCCTGGACCTTTGAAAGATACTGGTCCAATTACAGCCTGCTCCTCTCAAGTTCAGGAAAATGGTTGTTGACAAATTTTTGCCAATGAATTTTTTTTTTTTGGTCACACCTCACCTGGTGAGGTTCAGGGGATATTCCTGGCTCTGCACTCAGGAATTACTCCTGGCAGTGCTCAGGGGACCATATGGAATGCTGGGAATTGAACCCAGGTCAGCCGTGTACAAGGCAAATGCCCTACCCGCTGTGCTATCTATCACTCCAGCCCCATGCCAATGATTCTAATAGGCAAACACTGCAGGATAAGGCAGAAGGGAGGGGCTGAAGGGAACCTGGTGGGGGGGGGGGGCGCTCCTCCTGCACATTGGACTGTATCTGCTCACAAGGCAAAGGAGGAGAAAATACTCTTTCCAGCACAGCCCGACTCTGTCTTCACAGCTACGCAGCCAGCACGGCACACACTCTGAATGCAATGCTGAGTGGCCTGGCATCCTTTTGCTTAAACTCCCTCCTAGCTTTTCTAGAACCCCTTTGATAAAAGTTCAACTGGCGAGCCCCCGTCTCCCCTGCATCTGCTGCCACTCCCTGCATTCTCCCCAGGGCTCTCCACTGCCGTGTTGGCCCTTGTCATCCCATTAGAGATGCCTTCTCCTGTGACAGGACCACATCCTGTTGCTCTGTCTCTCGAGTGCTGTTAACGGTCTGACACCAGGATGATACCTGCTGAGTGGCTGTTGAAATTTGTAACAGAACTAGGCCAGGGAGGCACTGCGGGAAGACGGAGCCTTCAGCCTTCGTTCCACAGCTAGAGACCGCTGACAGCTTCCCTCTGATTGTGAGCTCACGGCCCCTGGACCCTGGCACGAATCAGCCATGTGACCTTGGCAAGGCCTGCTGAAGCCTTTTCTCTCAGCTTCTTGAGGCCTAAGTGAGGGTGCATGGAGGTTCCTGGCACAATGCCTGGCAAATTCTCGGGGTTGAATAAATGGCAACTCTCGGCCCCACATGCTCAGCTGACCTGGAGAGTCTGGGGCTGCTTCCAATCCCAGGGGACACTGAGGGCAGTGAGTAGGTTTCAGCCCCTGGTTCCTGGGTAGTAACTCCAAGTCCAGCTCACTAGTTTTCCCTGCCCTCTCTAGCCACCAACACGAATACTTGTTTTGTCTTTTCAAGATGACAAAGTAATACTCTCACCCGTCTAGGAAAATTCGCAGAAGGCATCGAAGTACCTAATGTGAGCGCCAGCCTGGACACCAGGAGGATGTTGCACTGTGGGATTCCGTAACCTGTCCACAGAATGGGCCCCAGCCAGGAAGCCTTGTTTGATCTCTGATGTCACTAGTGAAAACGTTCAATGGCAGGACCAGGTAATGAACTGAGGAGTGCACCCTGGCCTGTCCCCATGGGTTTGGTGCAGCAGGGTTCAAGGAGACAGCTCTGGGGTTGAGTGGGAACAGACAGACTCCAGACTCCTGAGAGCCTAGTCCTAGCCCACTTCCACAGGCAGTGGCCAGCCTCCTTCTCTGGAGGCTGTGACTTACCTTCTCCTCCTCCGCATCCGCAATGCTGCACAGCCCCCTCTTCCCGGAGCTCGCACACCTTCCTCTTCCCTATCCCACTCCCATCCTTGTTCATGCTGGAGTTCTGCCTTTAGGCCCTCGCCTCTTCAGTGACCAAAGTTCTCAGTGTCTGAGAGTGACAGCATCTAAAGTTCTACCTTACTGGGTGGGTTTCAAACTTAGGGTTCTTAGCTTTAGGGGTTTTTTTTTGGGGGGGGGGTGGTGAAGGTGAGAAAGGGTTTGAACTACACTCAGCAGGGCTGGTGAGGTTTGGCAGGGCTGCTCCTGGTTCACTGCTCAGGGGTTGTGTCCTGAATGCAGCTGACGAGAGAACCTGGGCCCCTAGCATGCCAGGGACATGTTCTGGCGACCTGAACTCTCTCCAGCTCCAACATTTTTGAGTTTTTTCTGTCGGTTTGTTTGCTCTGAGGTGCTTGGGATTGGACCCGGGCCTCAGTATATAGCTCTACCCATAAGCCGCATCCCCAGCCTTTACCTTAAACAGAAAAAAGCTTTTGTTGTCATACTTAGAACAAGAAAAGTGGGTCCCTGAGTTTCCCTCAACTTCTTTTGCTTCTCCACCAGGGATCTCTGAGAACCTCGGTGTGGATGAAAAGCACGGATTCGCCCAACACCCATATGAGACTTGAATCTCCCCCATCACATCCTCACCACCACATAACTCAACTAAAAGCAGGTTCACCACCACCCATCCCATTTTATGCTTCTGGGTCAGACGCCAATGTCCCTGGAGTCAACTGTGCATTATTCTGCCAGAGTTTCATGTCTAACGTATGAATCGGCCAATTCTCTGAGTCCTGGATTCCTGGGAGAAAGGAGCTGCCGAAAGGGAAGCTGGATCATTGTGGGGCAGGGTGGGGAGGTGATGGCATCAGCAGAGAAAGCGACAATAATGCCGCCAGGCTCCTGTGCACAGGGCACACGTCGAGGACAAACCTGCACATCACCCTCCCCATCGTCTCCCCTTACTCGCCCACCCCTGTGACCAACCAGCACCAGCTCCAGGGAGCCAGCCTGGCGCCAAGCTGCCCTAGCCAGGACTGTGACCCAGACTGTGAGGACATCCAGAGCCCCTGGCACCAGGCCCCCATCCCTCCTCTCCAGGGCGGGCACGTGCTACACAGGCAGACAAGTAGGGCAGCCAATGGCCCTTGGGTTTTTTATTTCTTTCTTCTCGAAAACAGTAGAGGATGGAATTGTCCCCTCCTTGTTCCCCTTGCATTGAAAGTGCCTTGGGTCTTATGACCCTAGAGTGTCATTGCCGCTGCCCCCTCGCTCCCAGAGCAGGAGGTGGCAGGAAGGAAAGCACTGAGTGTGGGGGCAGGGTGGGTCCCAGCGACCTGAGCCAGCCTCAAGCACCCCAGTCAGCAACTCCCCGAGCCCTCTCCCCGTAAGACCTCGACAGACATAAGAGCAGAGACTTATGGCAAACACACTAAGATTAAACTGAGGCAGACTACATGTGCACGGACTCACAATCACACACACACATAGGTGGCCCCTTCCTTTGGCATAGTTCACCCTAGCCCTGGGCGACAGAGTCTAAGGGTGGTGGTAGGGGGCCTGAGCTCTGGCCTTTGAGATGGGACCAAGTTGAATCCTGGATAACCCAAGCTCTCAGGTCAAAGAAATGCCCTCCTCTTGGGGTTGGAGGGATAGTACAGTGGGTGGGGCACTTGCCTTGCAAGCAGCCAACCAGGATTTGATCCCTAGCATCCCAAATGATCCCCTGAGCACTGCCAGAAATTTTTGAGTGCTGAGCCAGGAGTTAACCTTAAGCATCGCCAGGTGTGGCACCCAAACCAAACAAATTAAAACACAAAAACAAAATCAACTACCTGGACAGATACCTTTCCACCCAACACTTCGAAATCGAGATTGTTCAAGTAACAAGGATTGATGAAGGAAAGGGAAAAGCCCCGCTTCTCGACCTTCCCGACTATGGGCATCTGAAAGGGCTTCCAGCCCTGGGACATCTCAGTATCAACTTCTCCCATCTTCCCTCAACACTGCACAGGTCAGGAAAAGTGAGTAAGTCAAACTCTTCTATCGGGTAAAATTCGGAGAGCAGGAGAGTTAAAAAGCTAAGCACCATCACCCCCTCGAGGGTCTATGGACAATCCCAGTGGGGCTGAGGCAGGGAAACGTCTACTTCCGGCTCCAGCAAGGAGCCTTGGTCTAGCTCATTTGAGCTCTTGGCTCTAGCTCATGACCTGAGCTAGAGCTGGTGAAGAGCGCCTTGTCCCACTGCTGACCCTTCCATCGTGTCCATGTCCCAGGCAGTACCTGCTGCTCCAGGATAATACTACAACCATCCTGATCCAGGTCCTGCAGAGTCCACGGTTCTGGGCCTCAGCCCTGGCTGCTGAGAGGAAGGACCATGCTCTGGCCCCTCAGTCAGCCTTGCTCAGTCTGTAATCGTCCACCGGCTCCCGGTTCTCCACAGCTGACAGGGCGATGAGCATCTGGGCGGCGTAGTAAGTGGACATGATGAGTGCCCGCGAGTAGGGGACGGGGAAGCAGAACTTGTTGAGGGCGATGGTCAGGTCTGAGATGATGAAGAGCAGCGCCCCACTGCCTGCTGCCAGCTCAGTCCAGCGCCAGGCTGCTCCGACCAGCCTCAGCCCCGCCACAGCCCGCCAGCCCATGAAGCTGATAATGACCACGTAGATCCCCACCAGGTAGGTGAAGGCACCCGAGAGGCCTGGGTAGAGGATACCATAGCACAGGCACGACAGTATCGCCATCACCAGCCCTGTCCGAAGGGCCAGTGGCCGCATACCAAAGGCCGAGGCGTAGAACACGTGGGTCACGGCAAACATCAGCAGACCTGGGATGAGAGAATATGAAGGAATGCTGAGGGCCGGCTCAGGGAGGGGGGTGGGAGGAAGTGGAGTGCCTGGGAGCAGGAAATGACTGGAGATCAACCTCCAAGAGGGGACCCACAGACTCTGGCCTCAGAAACCCACAGAGATTCAGCATATTCTGGTTCAAAAGTTTTCTGTGCTATCTCCCAGGGCCCATTGCATGCTATGTGCCATATCCCACGTAGATTCCTGGCAGCACATGGGGCGATGGTTGTTGAGGGCGATGGTCAACATCGCCAATCATCAGCAGATGCAGCCCTAGAGGTCCCCACCAATTCTAGGGTGGGGTGGCTCAGGCATTCCCGGCAACATAAGGCCTGAGCAGCATCGCACCCTCAGGCACTGAGCCAGCAGCCTGGTTGGCTGAGAATCCTGTAGGGCCCTAGGGCCTCTTGAGCACTGCTCGGAAGTACCCCCCCCCCAAAAAAAAACAACACAAGTGTTTACCCAAATCCATGCACTTGTCCCCTCTTCCCCGCCCCCTCCCCCATACCCAGGAACCCTCCCAGGTAGCTACTATGGCCACTAACCGTGCACAAAGTAGCCCTGGTCCTGCCAGATGAGGAAAGCATCGCCCACAGCAGAGAAGACAAGCCCCACAAGGATGCGGGTGGCACTGGGGTGGGTCAGCAGAAATCCTAGGCCATGGGCCAGAAGGAAGAGCCAGAGGCAGAAGATGGGCAGGCACTTGATGAGGGCGCTGACCCACGACGGGCTGGATGAGGGCAGCCAGAGCACAAAATACACGCAGGTGGCCTTGAGGAAGGGCACTAGCTTGGGTCCCTCACTCTTCACCTGGAGGATATAGAACAAGAGTAGCACTCAGCACAGCAGCACCGATGCCCGCAGGGCAGACCTCCACCCCAGACACAGGTCCCTTTCCCCGAGCAGAGACTGACACCAGAGAAGGCGCAGGCCCTGCCCCAGCCGGCATCTGTGCAGACAAGCCTCACCATCATCCCCAGGCATAAAAGACCTGACAGGGCCAGGGTGTCACCAGTTCTGCAGCTCCTAGCCCTGAGGCATGACCTAATGAACACTCTCGGACAGAAAACGGAACTCAGGTTAATGTCCCCTCAGGCAGCCCAGTACTTCTTCATTCCCGTCCCTGTCTTCTCCCGCCTCACCACCCAAGACAAATGTACTTAGTCCTTCACTGCCAGCGTCATCCCAGCCGTCTGGAATAGTGTCAGCAAGAAACCACAGTGACTACGTGACTGGCAGAGCCAGTGAATCTCAGCAATGGGGTCTGGTCACAGAATTATCACCCTGGCAATGCCAGGTGAGTGCCACAAACACGCGTGAGCACTGCCAATGCCTCAACCCTCAATCGTTCTGCTCTGTGGCCTCCACTCTTTAAAGCACTGGGGTGTGGGAGGGACGGGGGTGTCAAAGCCAAGGCAAGGAGATAAGGGCCCATGAGTTGGGAATGAGAAAAATAGCCCTGAAAATCCCACAGATTTCAGGGCTGGGGGAGGGGGGAATACTGGACAGGCTTTGGTCAATTGCCTTCCTCTGAGAATAAGTAACTCAAGGCCCATCGGAAAGAGGCAGGGAGGGGGAGGAGGAACTCTTTCCAACTTCTGATCTGCAGCCAGGCTGGAGAAGGGGAACAGAGAAAAGGGAAGTTGGAGCAGCTGACTTGGTCTCAGGCAGCTTAGGGGGGGAGGGAGGGCAGCTAAAGAAAGAGGGTGTGTGTCCCAGAACACTGCAGGCACGTGCCAAGCTGGGGGGAGGGGGGAGGCCAACATCCTGCCTTTGTGATTTCCTGAGGATCCTGGCCTTCATCTTCCCACCCAGGGTCTCAGAGGGTGATTTGGAGGTACCCTGTAAACCCACACTCTAATCAAAGAGCCTCAGACTGGGGTGAACTGTCCAACCTGAGTCTCGGGAGAGAGCACCATCTCCCAGTCCAATTACTACCTGGAAACAGATCAGACTGGGAGAAAGGGACAGGGGGAGAGGCATAAGGGGTAGGTTCTGGGTCCAAGCCTACTCTGGCACTGCCCAGGGGTGAGAGAAAATAAAGAGTTGCCCAGCCCCAGGGGTCAGAGGAGAGGCAGGGGCAGCTGAGGGAGGGCACGGGCAGAGAGGCACAGTTCCAGCGCCGAAGATCTCCACCTCCACCTGTCAGCCCTTGGAGGCAAAATTCGCTCCACAGCCCCTCGCTCTTTCCTAGGGAGAAAAACCGAGAGCATTCGTTAAGAGTATGTGTGGGGGGTGGGGTGCGGGAGGAACACTCTGGACCTTGGGCAGAGAATCCAGCGCTGGAAGAAGGGCGGGCGGGAAAAAGACGGTGGTCAAGAGTTAAGAAAGTCCAAAACGGAAAAGGATGTCCAAGAGGCCAGGGGGAGGGGGGTAGCGGTGGAGCCAGCCCCTCTTCCTTCAGCAACGGACCCCCCTCCACCCGCAACGCTGCCCCTTAACTCAGACATCTCCCCCCCCACACACACACACCTCCCGACCCCGCCCAGACTGGTTCAGGAGCAAGCAAATTCGGTCCCAGGAGGTCCCTCTCCCCAGCGTGGCCGGCCCGGCGGACCCCCGGGCTGGCCGCGACCCCGCCGAGCAGCGCCAGACAGAGATCAACAAAGTCACGCTTCCGAGTCACGTGTCCACTGTTTTCCTCCCTCGGCGGGCGGGCGGGGGGCGCGGCGGAGAGGAGGAGGAGGAGGAGTCCAGTCCAGCGGCTCCCGGGAAGCAGGGGGTCCCCCCTACCCAGCTCCTTTTGGACAGCGCCCACCTCCACCCCGGCACCCCGGGGCCCTTCCTCGCGCCCCGAGGCGGCTTGGCCTGCCCGGACCCAGTGTCCAGGCCGGTGGGGTCCGCCCGCGTCGGACAGTGGTTGGCTCGCGCGCGCACTCACCACAGTGACCGGGGACACCATGGCGGCGGCGGCGGCGGCGGCGGCGGCAGTGGCCAGCACCCCCGCGGCGGGCTGCAGCGGCCAGGACGCGCGCGGGGGCCAGGGGAGCTGGAGACGGAGGAACAAAGCGAGCTCGGCCTGACAGACAATCCCTCCCGCGCGCCGCCCGGCTCTCGGGGTTCTAGCTGCGAGCCCCGAGACGTCACCAGTGGCTCAGCCAATGGGCGGGCCGGATCCGAGGAGGAGGGGGCGGGGCCGAGGCAGACACGCCCACCAGACCCCGCCAGGGAGCCGAGCGGCTTCAGCCCGGGGCGGGGCCTAGACGGGGGCGGGGCCTAGAGGCCACGCCCCCTCGGGACGCCGAGCCCGGGCATCCCAGAACGTGACCGTGACCCCTGTCGCTGGGTGAGGATCCGGCTTGGCTGAGAAACAAGCACATTCCTGTCGTGAACACCCGGCTACTCAACATTTTCTCACAGCCCAAGAACAGAAGACAAAAGCAGATTCCCCTCATCCTCCGACGTGCAGCCCCGCACAGGTGTCACTGGTACTGGACCTACAACTTGTACTGTGTCCAAACACATCCGAATGGACACCCGGAGAGTAGACTGCACAATTTGCAACACGTAAAGAGACATAACTATGAGATACAGATAGCCCATGAGCCCATCATCCTAACAGACACAAACGCATGCAGAATCACAATTGCCCTTAGGTACCAAATAAATCCATAGATTAGCACTATAGCACCGTCCTCCAGTTGTTCATCGTTTTGTTCCAGCAGGCCCAGTAACATCTCCATTGTGAAACTTGCTATTACTGTGTTTGGCATATTGAACACGTGATGGGCAGTTTGCCAGGCTTTGCCATGCAGGCGAGATACTCTAGGTAGCTTGCCAGGCTCTCGGAGAGGGGCGGAAGAATCGAACTCTGGTCGGCTGTGTGGTTGCTGCAAGGCAAAAGCCCTACCCGCTGTGCTATCGCTCCAAGTCCATAGATTTAAAAAAAAAAAAAAAGCAAGCAAATAAAAAAAAAAACAGCAAAAAACAAACAAACCAATGACTGTAGCGGTGAGAGCCTAGACCAGAGAATGAGAATATACAGTAGTTAGGCTGCTTTCCTTGCACGTGGTGGATCTGGCTTCCATTCTTGGCACCCCATATGTTCCCCACAACTCCCTCCCCCAAGCCCACTATGAGTGATCCCTAAATACAGAGCCAAGAGTTATAATCCTTGAGCATTACTGGGTGTAGCCCAAAAACAAATACACAAAGAAACACTTGGATATTTGCAGGTTGACACTGTAGCAAAAAATCAGGGCTAGGGAAATAGCACTATGAGCTCGGCATGCTGGAGGTGGGCTCTGATCCCCATCTCTCACATGGTCCCTGGGCAACACCAGACCCAAGAGTAAACCTGTGAGTCAAATGTGGCACAAAAACAGAAAACAACTAAATGGTTAAAAAAAAAAAAGGTACACATATGTGACCCATAGAGCCATAACAGATATCAAATTGCCCTCAGACACATACTTCTTACAATTCTGGGAGTGCTATAACACACACAGAACTCACCAAGAATAACAAACTGGCATAAGATATACCTTACAGAGGGACCCAAAATGTATAGATAGCTACAAAACATACCGTTTAAGTGAAGTTAGTGCTATTATACAAACTGAAAGTACATAGGTACATTTGGAAGCAAGTGTGCTTAAAGACATGGGAAATACTTTGATAGGCTACTAAGTAGTCATATGGGTTGAGATCTATTCCTAGTTTTGCCATAACCATGTCATTGGATGAATCACATCCTCTGCCTTTGATTTCCTTCTACATAAAATGAGTGTATAATCTCTAAATTTCCTCCTAAACCTATCGAAGTATAGTAGAAGTCAGAATATGCAAGGCAAGCACTTATCCCCTCTACTCTCTCTTCAGCCCCTGTACTGCAATTTTAATATTCACTCATCTATTATTGAGCACTAGGGTTGTTTCAGACCTTGGCTATTATAAATAATTCTGCCATGAATATATGTGTGTGAATGTCATTTTTAGTTCATACTTTTTTGTGTTTGGGTGAATAGATGCCCAGGCATGGAATCTCAGGGTCATAAGAAAGTTCTGTTTAAAAGTGGGTAGGGGGCACACTTGACAATGCTAAGATCAGAGGTTATTCCTGGCTCTACACACTGGCAGTGATCGGAGGAATATTGGGATTGAACTTGGGTCAGCCGCGTGCAAGGCAAGTGCTCTACCCACAATACTATATCTCTGGCATATTAAGTTCTAGTCTTAATTTTTTTCCCAACTGTTTTCCAACAAGGATGAACTGTTTTTCAACAGGGATGAGCAGTATCATCATCAATTAATGAGAGTTTCTTTTCACCACATCCCCACCAGCACCTAATTATTTCTATACATTTTTTTCCCTTTTGGTTTTAGAACCATGCTCAGCAGTGCTTCAAGTTTATTCCTGTTTCTGTGCTCAGGAGTGACCCCTGGCAATGCTCAGGGAACCATATATGGCGCCAGACCCTGAACCAGACCCTGATGCAGTCATATACCAAACAAATACCTTGCCTCCAGTACCATATCTCCAACACTCTCCCCATTATTTAATGGGGCCGCTTGTTTTGTTCTTGGTTGTTGTTAAGTTTTGAGATTGCTTTCTTTATCTTGGATGTTAGCCCTTGTACGATGTAAGAATCGGTACACATGTGGCCCATAGAGCCATAACAAACATCAAATTTTGTTGTTTGACACATACTTCTTACAATTCTGGAAGTGCTATAACACACACAGAACTCACCAAGAATAACAAACCGGCGTAAGATATACTCTTATAGAGGGACCCAAAGTAGTGTAGATAGCTACAAAACATACTGTCTAAGTGAATTTAGTGCTATTATACAAACTGAAAGTACAGAGGTACATTTGGAAGCAAGTGTGCTCATCCATAATGTATGATGTATGAATATTGTCTCCCAATCAAAAGGGTTTCTTTGAGGTTTCATTCTCTCACACTACAGAAGCTTTTTGGCTTGGCGTAGCTTGATTTATTTCTTGCTTTCTTCTGCTCTTGCTTTCTTTGTCAAAGAGAGCATATCATTAAAGACTCCTTCTTTAGAGAGTCCTGCCTATGTTTCCCTCAGTGTGTTCTACAGAATGATATCGAGATTTTTATTTCATTTGGAATTAACTTTTATATAGTAATTCAAAATTACTGAGATAGGAACTTAGTTGTGATTTTTTTGTATGTCGCTGTCCAGTTTCCCCAGCAACATTTGTAGAAAATGTTGTTCTATTTCATGTTCTTAACCCATTTGTCATAAATTAGCTGTCCATACCTTTGGGCTCTCAATTTGATCCCAAAGTCTGTCTTTGTGAAAGTATCCCACAGTTTTAGTTACCACAAATTTGTTGTATAGTTAAAAGTCTAAGAAGGCAATGACTCCCATCTTTTTCCCCAGGATTTCTTTGACTGCCCTAGGAGTTTTATGATACCACATAAATTTTAGGAGTATTTGCTCTGTGTCCTTTAAAAATACTATGTATTGGAATACTGTATGACTGAAATCCAATCATGAGCAGCTTTGTAATGGTCTATCTCATAGTGATTCAATAAAAAAAAAAAAGCTTCAAAAAATACTGGGGGGGGGGCTGGAATAATAGCACAACGGGTAGGGCGTTTGCCACGCATGTGGCCGACCCAGATTAGATTTCCAGCATCCCACATGGTCCCCCAAGCACTGCCAGGAGTAATTCCTTAGTGCAGAGCTAGGAGCAACCCCTGAGCATTGCTGGATGTGACCCAAAAAGCCAAAGGAAAAAAATATTATGGGAAGGACTGGAGAGATAGTATAGCAGGTAAGGTTCTTGCCTTGCACACAGCCAGTCCAGGCTCAATCTCCAACGTCCTCCACAGTTCCCTGATTCCCCACAGGAGTGATCACTGAGAACAGAGTAAGTCCTGAGCACTGCCAAATGTGGCCCAAACACACACACACACACACACACACACACACACACACACACCCCGCAACCTGGGAATTTTGCTGGGAATCAGCACTTAAGATAAAAAAAAAAAAAAAAAGCTTTCACAGGGCCAGAGAGATAGTTCTTATCTCTCTGAGAGAGATAGCTGTGGTACATTGTTTGCATAAATGAGGCCTCAGTTTGATTCCTAGCACCACACTGACAACCCATGCACCAAGCTGGGAGCAGTGCCGTGTGTGACCCAAAAGTCACAACGATTATGCAGTGAAACGCAGTAATCAGAATGTGAGACTAGAAGTGCTATACCCAGGCCTTTGTCCTACGTATTTACACTCACCCCTACAAAGAGTGCTGTCTAGAAAGAACACTGAGAGTTAGATGTAAGGAACTTACTATCAGTCACTTTTTACCTGTGACTTTGTAGTTAAATAACTGGGAACATCAATCCATCTCTGGAGACTTAGTTTTCTCATCAGTAAAATGGAATTACTGGATATGTGCTGACTTGGCAGTTTTCCAACCAAATCCTCTAATCTTACCTAAGGGGTAGTTCTCAAACAGGGTGACTAAGTCAGGGCACTTTTAATTTCTCTGTACCTTAGTTTCCCTGCATATGAAAATGAATGAGGTGCCCCAAGAGTGTGGATTAGTGACAGAGCTGCGTTTGCTTCCCAACACAGAGAAAGAAAGGTGGGGGGGAGAAATAGAAAGAAGGTAGGTCTCTAAAAGTGGTTTTAAGCAAGTGGGGCCCATAAAATTACTTGGAAAGCTTTTTTTAAAACATAGATGCCATGGAGCTGGAGAGATGGAACAGCCAACAGAGCATTTGCCTTACACGAGGTCTACCCAGGTTTGATTCTCCGCAACTCATATGGGCCTCCAAGCACTGCCAAGAGTAATTTCTGAGTGCATGAGCCAGGAGTAAACCCTGAGGATCATCAGGTGTGACCCAAAAAGCAAAAACTCTTTCTGTTTCAAAAGTGAAATTTTATTTTGCTCTTTACCGTTTCTATTATTTTGAATTACATATTGCAGGAGGTGGATAGTAGGATGGAATGACTGAAAATTGAACAGTACTTCCTGTCGGTACCCAAAATGGTCTGTTAGCATGGACCTTTTCGTACTTCTTGGTGGT